ATATCACAAGGCAGGCAGTCAAGGGGGTCCACTGCAGGAGCCTTGCAATGTATTTTTTGAAATGCAAAAGTTATGAGCATTAAAAAATGGTGCAGTAAATCAGGATGAGGATAACAACACTGGGAGGTGTTAATATGACGCTGATGAAGGTGAGAGACAAACTCCTTCCTGACCCTTGTCAGGGTCTACAGATTTGGATGCAGAGGATTGCCTGCTACTTGGGAAGACATGACACACATAGATAAAGTAACAAACATTACTGACAGCACTTTTGTAAAGAACACCCTAGAAGGTTGATGTATTATTACTATCGCATCATCCTATATTACACATGAAAACATCAGGACCCAGAGAGAGCATAAGCAACTTCCCAATGATTGTATAACCAATAGATGATAGAGTGAAGATTTCAATCAAACAGTAAAGCTCACATTAATCCCTATGTAGTCCTATCTGTCCTGCCTCTATAATGGGCTATTAAAGCCTCAGCATGCAGATACATGCATCACTACTAAGAAAGGCATTTTGCCAGCCATTCACATACTCATGTGCTCAACATAAAGTCACTGAGCACCTCCTGTGTGTCATGGATGGATGTTAGAGTCCTCAGTGGTGTTTTGTGATAACATGCAAGTTAACTCACTTCTGATTTAGGGTTTACAGTTTAGATAGGGAGATAGGTGGGAAAAGGATAAGACTACATACAGAATTACTGAGGGAAATACTCCAGCATGGCAGTAGAAAGCTAGCCTTCCTCATCGTGGCCTGGAGGGCTTAGCAAGGCACAGATGACAAGGTCCTACCTGTACTTTCTGATTTGGTCTGTGGTTGGTCCCAAGAATTTGCACTTATATCAAGCTACTAGAGGATGCATAGCTCACTTGGAGAACAGCTGCTCTTGGGGTTATGTGGCTTGAGGAGAACAGCTTATGTTGCCCTGTACAACCCTTAGACAAGTCCCTGAGCTTATGACAAAGGCTCATTGACCCGTATAGATGTAGCTGGAAGCCTACCAGGAAGTGTCTCTTACTCTGCTTTAAAATGTCAATAAACTCCCTAAGACAGGAGACACCGTCAGCCACCAAGAGCCGTTCCTAGACAGGATCTGACAGAGTGAGACACGAGATGGATAACATTTGGTAACAGAGAGATGAAAGAAAACGCCAAGATGTAAGGCCAAAGTGAGGTGCCCTGAGTACATCACTGAGGAATTCAAAGGCAACATTCAAGACGCTGACATTTTAATGGCTAGAATGCTAATGGGAAGGAAATCATAGGGAGGGAATTTTTCACTCATTAATCCAAGAAACACGCTTCATCCTTATCAATGTTGCTGCTCTCTCATTTAATTGACATGATGATTAAACTAACCTAAAGTTTCCTGGGTCTGGTTCCTATATATTCAAGAAAAAGAAAAGCCTAAGTATTTCTTGTCAGGAAAAGGCTTTCTTATCTATTAGAAAAATACATGGTAAGATATTATAAAAATACATAGTTAGAGTAAAAGGAAATAGTATTGGAAAAGAGCATAATTGTTTAAAATCCATATGTGGATATAAAGAGAGTCATTGCCTATATAAGCAATGATGTACATACGTATGCACATTATATACACATGCACATATACAGTGATGTGTTACTTAATATGAGGATGTGTTCTAGAACCTTAACTATTAGGTAATTTTGTCTTTATGCAAACATCACTGAGTTAAAACTACTTGTAGAGTAAAACCTCTTACATACTTAGGTGATGGTATATGTATATGTTATAGCCTATTGCTCCTTGTACCATAATGAAAAAAGTTAACAGGATATCAGATGAAGTACCAAAAATATAATCAAGACACAGTAAACAGAAGATATCAGAGATGGTATGGACATAACACGGCATACTGCTTTACAGCATTTGTTTTTCAATAAGCATAAAACCACAATCTAAAATAATGACTAAAATATAGATGATAAATATATCAGCCAATGATACAGTCCTTTATTATCATTATCAGGAATTTTGGCTGTACATAATTGCATGAGCTATGGTTATATATGAATGGCACCCAGTAGGTCTACAAACTCATGAGTGATGCTTGGTGCCATGATGTTATGTCACTAGGTGATAGGAATGTTGCAGCTCTGTTATAATCTTAAGTAGACAGCATAATGTAATATACATGATCTTTCATGAAAGCATCATTGCATGTTACATGACTTCACACATACAAATGACTGTTTTCAAGTCGACTGGCTAAAGGCCGCAGAACACACGAGCTCAGCATGGCAGGTTTAAGCAGCAGTGCTACAGCAGGACCACATGCTGGCATTCTGCTCATCTTCCTTCCAGACCAAATGTAGCAGAACGGACGGGGACAGTAGGCACCACTTTGCTGCGCTCTAGAAAGAGTACTGCACTGAAGCCAAGACACCACCTAAGAAGACAACTAGCGCCCAGCCTAATGGGAGAGGCAAGAGCCTGGGGATGACCTTGGAGTGGGTCATCTCTGCCAGCTCTCTGGGCAAACTTCTCCGCACCCTGGCCCAGATAATTCAGAGCTGTCTGGCTGGTTTTGTCGGATGCCGGATTTCTAAAGTGATGGCCCACAGGCCAGACCTGGTCCTCGGATGTGGTTTGTTTGCTTGGCCTATTCTCTTGCTTGTTGACCTGCTTTTCAGAGCTGAACTTGAAAGACTGAGATGGAGACTTTGGTCTCCTTCTGCGTGTGACCTTCACTGCCTCTCTCCAGTATTTTTTTCCTGGCTTTTATGACAACCTAAAATTGCCAGCCAATTCCTTGGAAAGAGTTGGCGTTCCGATTCCTACCACATCGTTTATAAATTCTCTTTCATTTCCAGTATTTCTTTCCTACGCATTCTGTTTCCTTTGTTTTTCCTCGTCTCACTAATGAAAAACCAGGTTTTTCCATAAGGATCTTAATTGTTCCTGCGTGAGTGATAAAATCCTGCATGTGATTTAGGAAGTAGACTTCTCCATGAACGTGAAGGATTACTGTTCTGTCTTTTTCACAGCGTGGTCCCTGTAGCTGGCTGGTCAGGGGTAGGTTTGAAGACATTTGGACTGAATAAATGACACTGGTCCAAACTGGGCCATGTCTTGATTTTAGTAATACAGGCATATCATCAGCAGACTGGAATTAGCTCAGAGAATATATTAAATTTTAGGAGGTATGGAGGGGCTTTTGTAAAAAAAAAAAAAAATTATGACTGCTAAGAGAATGTGAAATGCCTTGAGGCATGTTCATTTTTATTCTATAATGAACAGGAAATCTTCTGGAGCAAAAGCAAAATTAATGATGGAAAAACAGCTGGAGATACTGAAACAGAAATTAATTCTACTTACCTGACTTTTAAAAACTGATGGAAGGAGAAGGCAGATGGAAAGATGACATCAGGAAGAAAATAGATTCTTGACATTAAGAATCTGGGACCAGGCATTTGCGATCCCTTCTCGTTCAGTGGTCTCAGCGCTCAAGAGGGGCACTCTTCACTAATTATGAACAACTGAGGTGATGGCTGCCAGCAACCTGGGTAACCTGAAGTGTGGGCACTTTCTAAGGAGATGTGACACTGTTGCTTTCAACGGCAGATGACAGCAAGGTTGCCTTGCAGTTGCTATGAGAAAAACTATGATTTGGAGAGGGCACGATCATTATAAGCCAGGACTGGGTGCCCACATTGGATCACTCACTTTAATGCAGTTTATTTTAAAAAGGTATACATATCGCCTATGATCTTGTCCATGATTTTTTTTTTTTTTTTTTTTTGCCATTTTCTTCAAACATGCTAGAAATTTTTGCCTAAATACATTGCTTTGGGACAAACTTTATCAGTTCTCCACAGGATGAAGTTGTTCTACTGTTCTTAGAAATTCTTACAACTATGGGGGGGATGAAAATTAAAATGCATGTGTGTGTGTGTGTGTGTGTGTGTGTGTGTGTGTGTGTGTGTGTGTGTGTGTAAAACTATTCTCACCTCCTTCCATGCTGCTTTAAGCTTTTTGATTGATTCCCAACAAGCAAGACGGAGTACCCACAGATGTTTTATTTTGTGAGCTTTATTTATATGCCTGGGTAACTGTGTGAATCAGGGGCACTGAAAGGACCATCAGACTGACCGCCATAACAGGCTGCTTAGTCTTCTCTCAGAGATCAGGACTCAATTTCAGTTCCCTGAGAGTGAGCAAACAGTTTCTGGGAGGGCCATGAACAAAAGACAATTAATCACTGATGTCCCAGCCAGCAGGGACAGGGAGATAGGATGTACCAAGCCTGGGCCACTGAGCCAGCCCCCACAGTCAGTACATGCTAGGCCAGCCAGCATCCACAGCAGCTCAAGGACAAAGCCTGGGACTTGTCCAGGTCTGCCCCCAAATGGATAACTGTAACCCCCTACTAACACTAGCTAATTAAAAGTTACTAACATGATTGCCACTCACATAAACCAATCCTGAATCTGTTTCTATGTAGTCTGAAGACCCCCAAGGACCACCCCCACACTCACACTCCCCAACCCCGCCACCTTGCTTTACTGCCTGTAAAAACCTGGCCCCACTGCTACTCAGGGTCTCTCCTGCTCCACTGCTATGTCAGACAGATGGAGAGGCCCGAGTTAACTAGCAACAATAAAAAGACTCTTCAATTTTGCATTGGATTTGGTTTCTTGATGGTCTTTGGGGGACTCTGGGTCCAACAGGCACTGCTTTTCTTTCACCAGTGAATTTGCTGGGGGCATTTATACTAATAGAAAATTCATTTGACATTTTGGATGGAAAAACAGTATCTGTGTCCAGAATCATCTCTTAACCATGACGCTTACAATTTCTAAGTCCATGGTGTTTCTTTGTTTCAAGCCTGATGTACTGTTTCCTCTGAGATTGAAGCATTCAATCCTCCTGGAGAGATCCTTAAACAGGCAGGTAAACAAACTCAAAGTCATTTCAGGAAGTCCCTAAAACTGACCGGATTCACTAGATCCCTTCCTGCCATAGTTAAGTAATAAAAGCTAAGAGTCCCTCTAAGAGGAAGTGAAGCTCAGCTGCAAAGACGACTCTGAGACCAGACCAGCTGCCTGGAAGAAGCAGAAACCAGCTGAGCTGCCTGGAAGAGGTTTAGACCAACTGAGGCACCTGGAAAGGACACTCTCCAACCTGTTGCACTGTCTCTAGGCTGTGTAGTGTTCTCCAGATTCCCAGCTCTATGAACTGTCACACACGCTGGGGTTGACCTTGGCGATGCTGCTGTCTTTGAATCGTAAAAGTGGCCATAACCTCTCACCCATATTCCTGTAAGTAACCCCAATAAAACTCATGGTTCAAAGTTGGACTTTGGTGATATCCAATCTTTGGTCTGGGGTGAGTAAACATGTGCGTTGTGTCTCCCCAGGAATAGCTCTGTCATACAACAGGTATCTAAGAAAGAATGTATGGATTCCAGGATGTTAGAAGGTGTTCTTCTGGATTTGAGGGTTCATGTACAAATGGTTTCTTCAAAGACCCTGGGAAAGACACCTGCTGGGGATTCTCTAAAGTGGTAAGAAAAGCAGTTTTATCCACTACATCCTCAGTACACATCCCTTGATGACCATCCTTGTGCTTGAAATATGTGAACTGGTACCTTGCCAAGGAGCCTTTGCTGATATCCACATGAAAAGAAGCCCAGTCCCCTTAACTTCTCCCCTTTGTACCTACCACTTTCCACTGTAACTGTCTGACCTCTGTCTACTTTCTGCTCACCACCAAACACAAGCTTCTAAAGAATAGGGACTGTGCCCCTTTCTCACTGCTGAATCTTTAGGACCAAGAACCCTGGCAGTGATAGACTTTGGACCTGAAAGGTCCTCAACAGGCTCAGATTTAAATGCTCTGTCCCCAACCTTGGGCACTACTTTGAAGGTGATTAGAACCTTTACGAAGTGAGTCAATAGTGGGCCTTTGACAGGTGTAGTGACTTCCGGCCCTGGCCTACGTCCTGCCTGCCATCATGTGAATGGCTACGGTGTAAGCTTCCCAGCTGGAGCTACTCCAGCTGACACACCTGCTGGAGTATTTGGGTTGGACTGAAAATGTAGCTAGAGATTTCCTGCCTTGCCCACAGTCAGGACAAATCTTTGTCACCCGCCAGTCCCACAGCCACTCAGACCCAACCAAGTAAACACAGAGACTTATATTGCTTACAAACTGTATGGCCATGGCAGGCTTCGTGCTAACTGTTCTTATAGTGTAAATTAATCCATTTCCATAAATCTATACCTTGCCACGTGGCTCGTGGCTTACCGGTGTCTTCACATGCTTCTTGTCATGGTGGCGGCTGGCAGTGTCTCTCTGCCTCAGCCTTCTACTTCCCAGACTTCTCCTTTCTCCTTGTCCCACCTACTTCCTGCCTGGCCACTGGCCAATCAGTGTTTTATTTATTGACCAATCAGAGCAATTTGACATACAGACCATCCCACAGCACTGAGAACATTCTAAATCTGTGAGCCAACGGTAACCTGGGTTTCCTCAGTTCAGGTGTGGGGATTTGGACCCCAGTGACCAAACTGGAACTGACCCAGGTAGGCGTTAGATGCTCGGTAAGTCATTTTTGGATGATTGACTCTAACGCCTCAGTGGGACAACTCCTTTCCCAGCAGATCCTGACTCAGGAATCCAGGCTGGAACCTTAGCTCTGCCACTCAAAACTGATGGCCTTGGGCTATTGTCTTATGGAAGGTTTCTCCTGCTGTGATAAAACACCATGACCCAATGCAACTTGGGGAGGAAAGGGTTTATTTTCCCGATGCTTCTACAACACAGTCCATCACTGAGGGAAGCCAGGGCAGGAACTCAAACAGCACAGGAACCTGGAGGCAGGAGCTGATGCAGAAACCATGAAGGGGTACTGCTGACTGGCTTGCTCCTCCTGGTTTGCTCAGCCTGCTTTCTCACAGAACTGAGGACCACCAGCTCAGGGGTGGCACCACCCACAATGAACTGAGCCCTCCCACATCAATCACTAATTAAGAAAATGCCCTACAGGCTTGCCTACAGGCTAATCTTCTGGAGGTAAATTGAGAGGCCTTCTTCCCAAATAACTAGCTTGTGTTGGCTTAAAGTTAGCCAGGGCTGCAAGAGAATACCTTTGAGAACCTCAGATTCCTCAGTCTTGAAAGGCAAGCAGTAACAGTTCCTGCCGCAGAAAGGTGTTGCCATGATAGTAAAAGGTACTAAAAAGGATGTGCTTAGCACCTATTGCATGGTTTCCAGGACATTGTAGACATGCAAAAACTGTTGGCCGCTATTCCTGCTGTTGTCTTTATTCCAGAAAGACAAACCAACACAGAGTATATTCCAGAGCTACAGCAGAATTCTACACTTACATACTTCATCTCCCATCTGTTCCAAGCTCTCTGACACAGGCCCGGGGAGAAAGTGATGAGTGAGGTCACCAACTACCTTTGGCTTCTGTTTTGTGGAACCCTTGCTTTGGGTTCAGAAAGGAGGAGACCCTGTTAGATGTGAATCCAAGGAGTTCATGCACAGTGGCTGACTGGGCAATCATTAGGTTTTCTGTATCATGGTATATGTAGTAGAGAACACCAACCTAATTTAAAAGGGAGGCTCAAAACTTCTTGTCAGATGTGCCAATAAAGGCAGAGTGTTTAAAAATGAACTTTCAGAATAAGATCGAAATTGACTTAGTTTTTAAAAATAAATAAGACACCTAACACCTTTTTGTTTGTTAATTATTATCTCATAAGGATATTAACAATGTGTGGAATTTTCTAAGAATCAGGTGTAGTTGCTGTACAGTAACATGAAGAAACCCATGCGTTGCTCTTCCTCTTTCTAAGGGTGTTTTGTTTGTTTGTGTTTTATTTTGTTTATGCTTGGGCTGTGGTTTTGGTTAGTTGGTTGGTTTTGATCGTGCTTTTTGATTGCTTGTTTGGTTTGGTTTCGTTGTTGTTGTTTTGAGATAGTGTCTCATTATGTAGCCCTGGCTGTCCTGGAACTTGTCATGTAGACCAGGCTGGCCTCGAACTCACAGAGATCCTCCTTCCTCTGCCTCCTGAGTGCTGGGATTAAAGGCACTGGCCCTACATTGGTCTCCTCTCTTTCTTTCTTCTAGTTCCTAGTGCTAAGAACTCTAAATAAAACACACTAGAAGCTCCAACGGGGTTCAGGGGTAAAGGTCTTCCCTAGCCTGTGCAAGGCCCTAGACTTGAGCCAGGCTCCCGCAAATAGACAGAAAATGAAAGACAAACACTGACATAGTTTGCTGGTCTTAGTGAAAATGCAGGTGCTGGTACTGTACTTTCCCATGGATGTGAATTTAGAGATTTTTCAGACTAAATTACTTTGGGACACAGCCTCTAATTCAAAGAAGAAACTCTGTGCATTCATGCTCCAGGGAAAGGAACCCTGGGGTTTCAGCTTTGTTTTCCTAAACAAAGTCGGGAGGTAAACCACAGCTTCTGACCACAGACCTAAACATTCAGGACCTAACTGAACCAAGCTCACATGTAAACAGCAAGAGATTAATACCGCGCTTTGGAAATGGACTTGAATGGCTTCTGTGAGATTTCATCACACAAAATGCAGCAATGATGGTTCCCAGAAATAAGTAAAAGAAAGCTAATGAGAAATTATCCTGCTTCTACTTTCCATTCTCTTAGCCCAAACCTAAGTGGACATCGCAAAGACGTGCCAAGGAAGAAAGAATCCTAAAGGATGGGGGTGACTCAGGATAGACAGACATGACCTGGAGCAGAAAGGGATGCTATGCAAGAAATGGAGGTGAGCGCTGAATGAATACAGGAACACGGGGGATGCAGGGAGAAGCAGCGAAATCCAGGCAGGAAGGGAACACAGCCAGAAGCCGTGAGACACAGGGCAGGAGGTGGGATGTGAACATGGTCCAATGAAGCTGCAAGCGACGGGGCAGCCGTCAAAGGCCACGGTAACCCACTCTGATTAAAACAAGTGCCCTCACTACCATTCACTTAATTGTATGTTCCTCTGCAAATATAGAAACAGCTGTTTCCTTCGGATGCAATTATCTTTGTCCAAATGCTTTCGAAATGTCCCTTTGTGGACCTCGCAAGACACCCAAATGTATTACACAATAGACCTTTCAGATCGTAGGCAGAGGAGCGCAGTTTATCTAAGACTTTGATTCTCCTGCCAGAGAGTTTGGGCTGATGGAAGAAGGCACTGGTTCTCAGAATGAACACCAGTACTCGCTTGACCCTGGAAACTAACAGCTTGGCTGTGGCTTGTTAGCTGATGCTGAGTGTGAGCTCACTGGCTGGACAGCAACCAATCAGGCTGTCTTTAAAACACTTAATTTGAAGGTAGGGTTTTCAATTTGTCAAAGGATCAGCACAGAGCCAGTAGACTTAAAGAGTAGATATCAATCGATTGTCATTTCAACCAAGAGACAGGATGAGGAAACCTAGGGAGTCTAATTGAGCGAAAATACTAAAAGAAAAAAGACCATGAAGAAAACAAATAAAATATAAATAAATGTAGACAGACAGACTTAATATGTGCCACAGAGAGAGAACAGTATTTTCCATGCCTCTCAACTCTCCATCTTCGTCTCTATGGAGACTCAATATCCTTTACGCAAATAGTGGCTGATGTTAGTGAACACACCCCCAAGGCACTGTGCATGTGCTGTTTTATTTCATTCTCAAACAACGCCACAAAGTGAGAATATTATCATTCCTGTTTTACAGATGGCGAAGTCAAGGCTGGAAAGCTCATAGCAAAAGCTGGGGAAGTGGTAGGATTCCAATTCAGTTCTGTTTTAATCTGAAGTTTATATTCTAAAATGTAACTCTACACTGCCTGGGTTATTTCTAAATAAACTTCCTCTTTGGCTGAGCAATCTTGAGAGTATCTTTCTTTTATTTTATGAACCATCCACCTGTGATGAAAAGAAATAAGAATTTCAAGATGCTGCCTGAAAAAAGAATCTTTATGAAAGACTGAGGTCATGACATAGAGACGATTCTGGCTGGAAATCCTATTACATTTGGGTATAAGATTTAAATTTTTAATACATTTTTCTCTTTCCTTTCCCCTTCCCTAGATTGTTATCTTAAGTAAGTTGATTGGTGTAAAACATAATCCTTGGTAAACATAGTGTTCCCAATGTTCATAATTTGATGCGTATTTTTTAAAAAACTAAGAAAAAGGTGGAAGCAAGCATGTCCTTCCAGTAATAAAGTAACTGAAGCTGAGGATGGTGGATGTTTATGTTTACCATGTCACTTTCAGAGGACCTTTGATTCACCAAATTCTTTGCACATGTATCTTTAAAGCTGTCCAGCTGCCTTAGCTGGGCCCAGCCTGAGGATGGTCACACTTCCTGCACTGTGCTTACTTCTGCTCATTGGCTCAGCCAGATGTAAATGAAGGTCAGAACATCCACTTAGCAGCAATACAAGATTCCACTTTTCAAATGAACTGTCTAAAGAAATATTCTTTTCCACATACTGTATTTTCTACGTCTATTCTGTGGCTATTTTGGTTTTGTGTTTCAAGGAAGTAGTGAGAAAGATGGAGGATTTTTGAGAGCCTTAGATTTTGGCTCAGATTGGCTACTGGCTGTCTACATGACCTTGAGCCAGGCACTTACCCAGTGACACTAAACACCATGGTATTTACATCTCATGATAAAGGGGCAGTAATAGGACTGCAACTGGAATAAAAGATCATCACAGGAGTGTGTGGGTACTTTTGGGATTTGTCAGACGATCGTTATAAACAGTTTCAAGAAAGGGCTCCTTTAAGAATGATCTGTGACTTGGGGATGGTGTGGAGGGGTGATGGCTCCCTTGGGAAAGCACTTGCTTACAGGTTTAAAGACTCAAGCTCTATCCCGATCCCCAGAACCTACACAAAATTTCAGGTAGAGCTAGCACTTGTAATCTCAGCACTGGAGAGCTGCAGATGGGGGGAGGGGGATAGTGTCCCTGGGGCTAGCTTCCCTGCCAATATGGCCTACTTGATTATCTCTAGCCAATGATACAGCCTGCACCGAAGGAGGTAGAAGGTATTCCTGTAGATGACACCAGGAGTTGTTCTCTCTTCTCCATACATATGCACATAGACACATATACACATAGATATACACATACACACATATATATACAGAGAGAGAGAGAGGGAGGGAGGGAAGGGAGGGAGGGAGGGAGGAGGGGATATCTACCTGAGCAGCAGGAACAAAAGCCTGTGCTCCATGAGTCTGGTATATGTTTCCTATTAAACGACCTTCACCTCTTCGTTCAGCCCCTTAGTTTTGAGGCTTTGAGTCACACAATAGTAGGTTGGAACATGACATCATGAGCCACAGCTGGCATCAAAACAGATGCCATCCGCACACTGTCTCCGAAACTTCAGCCCGGGGCTCCCTCCCAGACAGAGAAATAGTCTCACTCAGTGAGGGGAGGGACAACGAACAGGATGTTTCCTCCTGGCAGCTGATGCCAACAGACACAACCAGGTACTGCCTGGGAGCAAAAGGGAGGGATTTTTTGCTATAGGGCCATTGTCCTCCCAAACAAGGCTTGTCTCAATCTCACAGTCTTTAATTTTGTTTTTGACATCAGAGATAAGCGTTTTATAACCTCTTCAGGATAAAAGCGTATTTATATGGAAAAGTTGTGGAAGTCTGACTTCTAAACAAATGAGACTTTCAATAAAGAATATGTAGAGATAGGTTGAGTAACCCTTATCCAAAATACTTGGAACTAGAAGTATTTCAGAGTTTAGATTCTTTTCAGATTTTGAAACATTTACAGATATGTAGTAAGATATCTTGGGGGAGGATAGGACCCAATATGAAATTAATTTATTTCATATAAACTTTGTACATATAGACCAAAGGTAATTTTATACAATGTTTTAAAATAATTTTGTGCATGAAGCAAAGCCCTGCTTGTGGGGGCAATTTTATATGATTTTTTAATTAACTCTCTGCATGAAACAAAGTCTCAGGACATTGAATTATCCCCCTGGAGTGCATGGCAGCATGCATCAAGTTTTGAATTTGGGAGTATTGCTGATACCAGACTTTCAGGTTAGGAATATTCAGGCTATTTTCAATGTTCTTCTTCCTTCTGGAGATGAAGAGGATATTTCTAGGGAAGGGCACCCAGTGTGACACTATTTGTCATGATTTATGATCCCTCTAAAGGAGATCTGTGTCTCACTAAAGGAAACATCACAAAGTAAAGATGTTTCACACCAGACTATGGAGTTTTCTAGACTAAGATGTCACATGCAAAGAGAGAGCTGAGATCCCCTTAAGCTAACACCACCATGTGAGTGGTGGGGATGTAGGCCAAGTATGATGGTTGGAAGAATGGAGAGCATCATAAAACACAGGGGTGCTCCATTATGTCCACAAGACATTTGTGGCAATCTGACCTGAAAAGATGCAGACAGAGAGTATATAAGAAAGCTCAGAACAGCATCAGTATTAGATGCCTGAAGATGGCATAACAAATGTCTCAGTGAAAGATGGGGTATAAAAGCCACAGAATTTACCTTCCAAACAAGGCCAAAACAATCTACAGAATACAAGGGAATCCTAGAAGTAATTCTTTGCAGCATGGGTTGTTGCTCAGTGGTATAGCATGAGTTTAACATGCTCATTGACCTGAGTTTGATCCCAGCATCCAAACAATAATTAATATGACTCCGGTATGAGCTGAGTGATCCTGATTTGGGATAAATGGGTTTGCTATCAAATCAAGTAATGCATGGGCTTCATGTTGACCCTGAGCTCACTGAAATGTCAGCCCTGTGCTCCGGTCCCAACACTGTTGTTTACCGAATGTGAGATCTTGGATACATTGCTTAACATTTCTGCTGAGTGCTTTAGCACAACCCATTTTGGGGACAGTACTTAGGTCTACAGAGGGTCACTGAGTCACCACAGGCCACTGAGTTAGGAATCTTAAACTAAAACCTCAGCCTCCCAAGTCCCATTGCAGCACCTGAGCTGTGAGATTTGCTGCAATGTGTCTATCACCAACCTGCTCTGTGTGAGCGTGGTGGACAGAGCTCCACCAGCTGTAACTGTTTTCATCTTTAGCCAGTATCTGTCCCCTGCTCTACACTACCTTCAAGCCATTCTCCCAGCAGATGCCTGGTTTGATCTCACTATGGAAGGTTTTACTTTAAAAAAAAAAAAATGCTGTTCCTTTTTCCCAATACTTTCCCCACTTTACAGAATGTTCTCTCGTTGGCCACAGAAAGAAAAGTATCTGTTTGATTTTAATCACTCTCTTTAACATTTCCAGCTCAAGGGGATACAGGTAAAAACAAGAAAAGGAATCAGCTGAAAAGACAAAGTTTCTTGGCTGCAAATTAAAACCAATACCAAACGCTCAGTATCTGAAAAACATGCACGTGATTCCTGGGAGGGACTTGGAAAAGAACTGGCCTCCTACAGCCATCCATCAACTGTCAGACTTCACACATGGGCACTTTAAAGACACACACTGTTCTTGTTACACAGGACGTGTTCTTGGGCATACATTCACAGCTATTTATGGTTACAACGTGCTTCAAAATCAGTTGCAAGTTTCATCTATGATTGAAATCCAACATTCATATATGTTTCAGGAATGATATAAAAAAATCTTCAGCAAGATAATACGTGTGAAAATTAAAAGCATCTTGTACATGCCCAGCATTGTCATTACTGGAAGAACATGAGTAGGGCATGGCCTGTCAGCTTCTCATTCAGGGGTGCCCTGGAGAAATGGGCTATGCCAGGGAGAGGGTTCCACTCAACCCACCTCATATCGGACGCACCACAGACAGATGCTACTCCCTACCTCTTGCTTTCTCCTCCAGGGTGTTGACGTAGTTCACATAAGTAAGTGGTTTCATAAGGTCCCTGGGAAATACTATGGTCTCCTTATCCCAGAACCCCAGAACCATCTGTCTGTACTGCAGCTGCCAAGGACAGGATATGGGCCATAACTCTTAGTTGTCCGCATAAGCGTTTTCACCCGGACTCGGCTTACTTGGACCTTTGGACTCATTCACCGTGTCAGCACTGCTCAGCTTCGTTTCTGTGTCTCTAATGACACCAGTTGTTTTGCCAATAGAGCTATAGATAAGAATTCAGAAGAGAACATTAACATGATTTAAAGTATCTTGTTGTTTGTGTGTGTAAGAGTGTTCTGCCTGCCTGTACGTCCTGTATACCACGTGCATGCAATGCCCATGGAGACCCAAAGAGGGCACCAGATTCCTTTGAACTGGAGTTGCAGGTGGTTGTGGGTTGATATATGGGTGCTGGGAATTGAACCCAGGTCCTCTAGAATAGCAGCCAGTGGTCTTAACTGATAAGCCATCTCTCCAGACCTTATTTAACTTATATATATATATATATATATATATATATATATTCTCATGAAAAGAATAAGAAATGTGACAATTGTGACAATTGTAGAGGACCTCAAATTTATATCCCCCTCCTCTCTTTCTCTCTCTCTCTCTCTCTCTCTCTCTCTCTCTCTCTCTCTCTTTCTCTCTCTCTCTCTCCCTCC